ATGGTTCAACACACTCAAATCGATCAATGTGATACACTACATAAACAAAACACAGAACAAAAATCATATGATTCTATCAATAGATGCAGAAAAAGCACTTGACAAGATACAACATCCATTTATGATTAAAACACTTAAAATGGGTATAGAAGGAAAACACCTTAACATAATACAGGCCATATATGACAAACCCGCAGCTAACACCATAACTAACAGTAAAAAACTGAAGCTCTTTGCTCTACGTTCAGGAACACAACAGGGCTGTTCTCTATCACCCCTGCTTTTCAACACAGTATTGGAAATTCTAACCAGAGCAATCAGGCAAGGGAAAGAAATAAACGGCAACCAAATAGGGAATGAAGAAGTTAAATTGTCACTTTTTGCAGATGACATGATGCTATATATAGAAAACCCTAAAGACTCCAACAAAAAGCTATTAGAAACAGTAAACGAATACAGTAAAGTTGCAAGCTACAAAATCAACATACAAAAGTCCATTGCATTCCTATATACTAACAGTGAAACCTCAGGAAAAAAAAATTAACAAAAACAATTCCTCTTGCAATTGCAACAAAAAAAATAATAAAACCTAGGAATAAACTTAACCAAGGAGGTGAAAGACCTATACACTGAAAACTATAAGGCATTTTTAAAAGAAATTGAAGAAGACACAAAGAAATGGAAAGACATGCTGTATTCATGGATAGGAAGAATCAACATAGTTAAAATGGCCATATTACCCAAAGCAATATACAGATTTAATGCAATCTCCATCAAAACCTCAATGGCATTTTTTAAAGAAATAGAACAAAAAATCATCGGATTTGTATGTAACCACAAAAGACCCCGAATAGTCAAAGCAATCCTAAGAAAAAAGAACAATGCTGGAGGTATCACACTCCCTGACTTCAGCTTGTAGTACCGGGCAACAATAGTCAAAACAGTATGGTATTGGCAGAAAAAGACATACATACCCATGGGATAGAAACGAGAACCCATAAATAAACCCACGTAAATATGGAAAGATAATTTTTGACAAAGAAGCCAAATTCATACAATTCAGAAAAGGCAGCCTCTTCAATAAATGGTGCTGGGAGAATTGGAAAGCCATGTACAAAAGAATGAAACTAGGGTGCTATCTGTCACCATGTACCAAAATCAACTTAAAACGGATCAGAGCTAAACATAAGACCTGAAACAATAAACTGCATAGAAGAAAACATAGGTACTAAACTTATGGACCTTGGGTTCAAAGAGGATTTTATGAATTTGACTTCAAAGTCAACGGAAATAAAAGCTAAAATAAATGAACGGGACTATATCAAATTTAAAAACTTCTGCATAGCCAAAGAAACCATCAGCAAAATAAAGAGGCAACCAACCAAATGGGAGAAGATTTTTGCAAACAACACCTCCAATAAGGGACTAATATCCAAAATATATAGGGAACTCATACAAATCAACAACACAAAAACAAACAATCTAATTAAAAAATGGGCCAAGGGCCTGAATAGACATTTCTCCAAAGAGGACATACAAATGGCCAATAGACATATGAAAAAATGCTCAACATCACTAATCATCAGAGAAATGCAAATAAAAACCACAATGAGATTATTGCCTCACACCAATTAGAATGGCTATCACCAACAAGAGAAATAATAACAAGTGTTGGAGAGGCTGTGGAGAAAAAGGAACCCTCATACAGTGTTGGTGGGAATGCAGATTGGTGCAGCCGCTATGGAAGGCAGTGTGGAGATTCCTCAAAAGATTAAAAATGGAATTATCATGTAACCCTCTAATCCCTCTCTTGGGTATCTAGCAAAAAAATCTGAAAACATTTATCTGTAAAGATATATGTGCCCCTATGTTCATCGCATCTTTATTTATGGTGGGCAAGACATGGAAACTACCAATGTGTCCTTTGATAGATGACTGGATAAAGAAGTTGTGGTATATATACACAATGAAATACTATTCTGCCAGAAGAAAAGATGAAATAGTGCCATTTGCAACAACATGGATGGATCTTGAGATTATTATGCTAAGTAAAATAAGTCAGAAAAAGTCGAGAGCCATCTGATTTCACTGATACGTAGTATAGAAAACTGAAAACAACAAAGGAACAAGACAAACAAATGGAGAAACAAAAACTCATAGACACAGACATTAGTTTAATGGTTACCAGCGGGTGGGGGGGAGGGGGATGGTAGATGAGGTTAAAAGGGAACAAATAATGTATATGGTGATGGAAGGAGAACTGACTCTGGGTGGGAACACACAACGTGATATATAGATGATGTATTACAGAATTGTACACCATAAACTTATGTCACTTAACTAACAATTGTCACCCCAATAAACTTTAACAAATAAATAAACAAATAAATAATACCCATCAATCAAAATTATTGCTTCCTTTTACCATTCTCCCTGGCCCCATTTCTTTCTTTTCTTTTTTTCTCCCCACAGAAGAGACACCCATCACTTTCAAATTTCTGCTATGCTGTTTCAGCTTTAAACTTACCACCACCTGTCCTTATCTCTAACCCTACTGTTTCACGTGGCCCTCCTACTTGACAAAGCTAACCCTTCTTCTCTATACTTCTTATCCTGTTCCCTTCTGCCACCACCCCAAAGGGAAAAACAAACAAAAGGAATACTTTCTTGATTATGTCTTCCCTTCAAGCTACCATGGTGTCTAACATATGGAACACAATCAACAAGCATTTATATTGTTGAATGAATTATTGGATGCTCTATAGCAAATTCATGTTTTAAGCAGTAATCAAAAGTTGTTAAATTTTGCGAGTAATAAATTAATACATTCCATTCTCAACATAAAATGTTTAATCAATATCAAAGTCATATTGTTCAAGCCTTGTGAAAGAGTTGTAGCTTAAGATATAACAAAATTACAAGTACATTAAAAATTCTGCACATATTATGTGGTCAATATCTTATTAATTTATTCATCCATTCATTCATATTAATATCTTCTATGACAGGCAAAGTGCTAAGCTTTAGGAAAAAAGGATGAATAACAGCCCCTGCTCTCACACTCAATCGAGCTGGAGAGACAGATTTAAAATCATTTTTTAAATGTATATACCCTTAAACAAATAGAACAAATTACAGAATAGTACTTACTATATGCTATCAAAGGTGTAAAAGGTGGGGGATACTATATTGGTATTCACTTGTATATACATAAAAGTATCTGGAAGGATAAATAAAAAATTAAATTGTGGCTACTTCTTTTTTCCCTTAAGGAAGACTGAGTGAACAGAGGAATGAGGTGAGAGTCTTTTAACTGTCAACCTTTTTTACATTTACTGAAATTTAAGTCATGTGAATATATAAACTATTCAAAAGTTAGATAATTTTAAAAGAAAAATAATCATAACAATGCATCAAAGTGGTATAATAGCAATATATGCATATGGGACAGTGGTGGCACAAAGAACAATTGATTATACATGGTAGTATGTGCTACGGAAAGCTTCACAGAGGTGACGCTGGAGCCCACTCTCCAAGCATAAGGTCACCAGACAGAGAAAAGAGGTAAGGGGAAACTTGTACGAACAGAAGAAACAAAGAAAATATATGCAAAGGAAAAGAAGACCACAGCACATTCAGAGAAACGTAAGTGGGCTTATAGCACAGCTGGAGGTAGAATTGGAACAAAATGAGGTTGGAAATAGGGAGGGACAGGTCATGGAGGGTGTCTTACATCATCATATCATAAAGTTTGGCATATAACTGTAGGCAATTGTTAGTCACCAAAGGATTTAAAGAAAGAGAACAACATAAGGCACTATAATACTCCAGATAAAATAACTAAGTTAATGGCAGTAGAGAGTAGAAGAGACAGATTCAAGAGATTTAAAAATATGTAATATATTATTAAATAATCCATATAAAGAACTTAGTTCAGTGCCTAGCACACATAGTAATGGCTCCATAAATATATGCTGTTGTTGTTAAGTTAGACGCTCTATCTGGGGCATTCTTAAGACCAAAACTCTTTCAGAAGAACCAGTTTTAATATAATCTCCCTCCATGCCTTCCCCAATTTTGACAGGGTGAAATAATTCATTCTCTTCTCCATCCTCCCACAGAAATTCATAAATACCATATAACAGCATCTATTAAACCAGACTGTGATTGTGCACACACCTGTTTCCCCAGTAGACTGTGCTCAGGGACAGTACAATTAGGCAAAGACAGTAATGTCACAAACTGTGAGATCTAGTTAAACTAGAGAAAGCACTACGTTTAATTAGAATAACCATACCACTGCACAAATGCTAAAGAAACTGATAATAATAGCAATAGCCTTGCTGAAAACACTTGCAATACAGCAGTGGATTTAGTATCTAAACCAATACTAATCTGAAATATATAATTTCCATAATTAAACTTCAAACAGTTTATCAGGAAGTAAAAAAAAATCACTCTTGTGTTTTTAATGACATGGAAATAAAGCACATAAATGAAAAACAACTGAAGTTTTTCTAAAGTTGACTCCCTGTGAAGATAGTTCTCCATAATTCCACTAGATCTTCTAAAAAGAAAAAAAAATCTTTATTATAATAACTTGCAGCACAGGAAATCCTAGAAATTTGACTATCTTATACAAGCCATTAAATGTATTCTGCAAATTGAGCAAAGGCCAACAGTATGTTGTCCTTTAAAACAAAACAAAACAAAAACAAAAACAAAAAAACCTCATACTATATGATGCATTAAAGAGGATTTTTATTAGATTTCATAGCTATGCAAACATGACAATCACAAAAACTAATTTGGTGGTCAAAATGAGCTGGAAATCACAAAAATTACTAGTCATTCTATCTGCAGTATATAATCAGCCATATCATTTGCAAATACCCTTAAGCTTCCCCACAACTGAGGCTCAGACATAAACTGACTGAAAGAAAGTAAATTAGATCCAGGTATACTTAGGTTAATATGAAGAAAAATAAATTCAAACTTACTTCATGATATATTTGGCTCTGTCTATTGTTTGAGCTTTAACTTTTACTAAAAGTGGGTGACTGTTATAAGTTTCATTCTTCCACTGGCCATACAGACGGTATCTTAAAAAGTGATGAGATGAAGAATTAGAATAAGTTATACACTTAGAGGTTAATGCACTAGAATAGTAGTTCAAAATACAAAAATATTATATAGTTACCTATGCTGATATGGAAATGTTTTAAACATTCCCCATAGTTCCTCAGACATACAAGCATTGCAGTCCATCAAAGAAAGAGATGGAAGTAGTACTTGGTCAGTAATGCTAAGCAAACAGCTAAGGATAACTTCCTAAGAAGAAGGGAGGAAAAATTATTTCAGTAAGAGGTACATATTAATCCCTCCCCCAATTAAATTTATTATCAGCCTTGGAAAAATTGGCATTCCTTGATTCATAACACACCATATCTAATTCCCCGCATTATCACAGTCCTTTTCACAATTGTTATTGTGTTTCTCCAATCTAAGAAAGCAAATGATGTGAGGGAAGGAAAAGGGTAGCAAGAGAATAAGGGACTTTTATTATCTCTCTTCCTTCTTCAACGTGGTAATCATCAAAAATAGGAGGTTGTAAATCTCAAAAGGTAACTTGTAAAATAATGCCAAAAGCTATAATCAGCATGCAAAGTATAAAATAATTATTTAAACAGGTGATTAAAGCTTGTCCACAGTAAAACTTGCAGTATGCTGTACCTAGACAAACATTAGACAAACTGGATTTTTTCTAGTCTCTTACCGTTTTCTCTTTATCTTCTTGTTTGCTCCCATCAGACTGAAACTAAAATTAGAAAAAAAAAACTATAAATAAAATGCAAAGAGGTTAAGATTATGCTTTCAATTTAGTTTCTAATTTGAAAAAAATTAACTTGCACATGGTCGTGAATTATTTCCTATTTACTCACTTGTAGCCAGTATTACCAACTAACATTTTAAAATTTCATCTATATTTCTAATCTCCAAATCATTTACAACATTCATGAGTTTTAAATGCCAATTTTATAGGTCAATTCTTTTTTCAAACTCATTATCACAAACCAAAGCATCCTAAAATGAATCAAAGTACTTATTACAAAATTGTATCCAGCACAACTTGGTTAGAATGCATTTGCATTTTTCTATCCATGCATTCTCATTTTCCCCCTACAGAATTGGTAAAATCTAACACTAAAGCAACAATGAAAAAAAAAAATTAAACCCAAAGAAATTTAAAGCTATGCTTTAATTCACCATTCATTATTTAAGCCCTCACTGAGAAATAAGCCCAAAATATTAATAACACTGCTGCCAAAAACACTGCCTAACTTGGACGCTGAAAAAATGTGAGGCAGTATTATATCAATGATTTGCAGATGGGCAGCTAAAGTGCCATGTTTGACAATGCTGTCCATTCACTCAATATGAAGCAGTGATTAATAATTGTGTGTGTATATAGGCAGGTAGAGGGTTAGGGGATTGTGTAAAGGACAACTGAAGCATTGATACTCGAGGCCAACTTGGGAGTCCTGGGTAGGATTTAGCACACCAAGTTAGGGAAGGGGAAAAGCTAATATGCAGCTAACGAGCTTCTTATTTTCTTGGCAGATAAGGGTATTTTATGCATATGTTTTCATGCTTAAGCAATTTAATGGGTGTAACTAAAGGGAAGTATAATGTCTGTGCAAATTTTTCACCTAAGACTAACTCAGGGACTGCCATGTTACTTTGATGAGAAAACATACACACAATCATATCTGTTTTAATAGGCAGGATAAAAAGCTACGGTTCCTTTCACAGAAACAATTATTAAGTCAACATATATCCTGGCCAGCAAATAAGTAATCAGGTTATGAAGGAGTTTCCTGGCAGAAAACAAACTACCTAGTTGATTTTGCTTTCTGTTTGTGGGGCAGTGGGGAAGTAAATTCTGTTAACATATTGGGTATACACTGGGAGGCAGAAATAAGGGTATATCATAATTAGAAGAACTAGGTTTATAATACATTATGTTGGGGATAAAGGCAGTTAAGCTACTCCTTTCCTGGTATGCTATGATTCAAGCAAACTTAATAAAGCTACAAATAATTTTCTCCATAGAAATAAAACATTTTCTTAATTATGTAGCTGTCCTACTAGATAATTATGAGGTTCTGATGTCTATGTTAGTTATCCAGATTTCATAAGCAAAAAAAAAATGAAAAAGATAAAGAAATATGGAGAGTAAAACGGAACCATCTAGAAGGACAGAAAGAAAACTTCCTATCAAAAGTTAATTATAACAAAGATGAACAAAAAGTAAATCAAGAGGTATATACAAGTAAAAGTAATTTTCTTTTGTTTGGTAAGAAGATAAAGGCACATTCTACCCCCTTGATGCTTTCTTTTTGAGTTTAATTTGCTTTTTAATTCAGAGTAAATATAAAACTCTCCATTCCCATAATATAATACTAGAAGTTTTGACTGGCCAGACCAGGAAGGAATGGGAGGAAGAAAGAATGGAGAAAAACAAAAGATATGCCTTCAGTCATTCATTTAGTATGTGCCAGGCACTGGGAATTCAAAGACGAACAGGATGGAGGAGTTCCTATCTTTGAGGATCTCTTGGAAGATCAAAGCTACACTTGCTAATGTACTGTTAGGAACCAAAATTTTAAGTTTGAATAAAATTCAGCACTCACAATTATGCCTAGACAGACCATCAGCTATAAATGGCCCCAAGCAGGTTCCAATCTTGTCCTATAATGACGGAGCAGCTGACGGGGCAGCATAACAGTACTGGGCACAAAAAAGAATGTATGTCCATTAGGAGGGGGCACTTGGAGAATGAAAAATAAAGGCTGAGAAAAGTTGTAGCTGTAACTATGATAGATAAATCACTTTTTTATTACTAATGTTCTTTGTTTAGTACTTCTAACCCATGAACATTTCAAATGCTACTTTAGACTATACATTATCTCCAAAAAGAAATAAAATAAAACATACTAAGATTTGTTACTAGATTGGAACCTGAAGCTACATCTAAGTCAATTATAGAACTTAGAAATTATTTTCACCTTCCTTCTTTTTCTTTTTTTTTAAAGTTTATTAGGGTGACAGTGGTTAGTAAAGTTACATAGGTTTCAGGTGTACAATTCTGTAATATATCATCTACATATCACATTGTGTGTTCACCACCATCCTTATTTTTCTTGTTCTTATTAACTACCATTTACTGAGTAGTCACTATGTGCCATGTACTTGGCTACGAACTTCACATTTATGTCTTAAAACTACTCTATGAGAAAAACCTTCTTGCTAGCAAGGATCCAAATAAGACCCATCAAAATAACTTACAAATAGGAAAATATAACCTATAGGTTACAAGTTACAGAAACATGAGTTTACCAAGCCTGGAGAAGAGATAACTAAATAGCTTGTCAATGCTTGGGTTCAAAACCTTTTTATTTTTCAATCAGAAACTCGTAAGACTTTATAAAACACCTGGAAATAACCAGTAATATTGATACTGCACCATTAACGAAAACAGAAGAAGAGATACTAAATGAAAAAAGTACTATCTTCCACCACATTTCAATACAAATCCATCCTAAGATGCCAAAGAGCTAATAGCATATGATCACCTATACAGGATGACCACACGTGCTGGCTCTCACTTTTTATCCCAGTATAAATAGCAGCACAACCTTTCAACCTCGAGAGTCCTGGTTTAGATAATAAAGTACATGGTCTCCCTACTTACCACATGAGTAGCATTCAAATTGGAGTAAATGACTTGTAGGAGTGATTTAAATATATAAATATATTTTATAATAGTTTATAATAGTTTTATTTTATGATATGGGAATATTTTCTTTTTTTGTGGGAGTGGTTTAAATATTAAAATAGGGAAAATGAAACAAATTGCTAAATAGTTATGCTCAGTTTCATAAAATACACCACCCAAAAGTAGGTTAAAACACTGATTATGACATGAAAATATGCTTTGTTTTTACACAAGCATGGTTCTAACAAGATGTGTATAAAAATGGGTATTTTCAATGCACTTCATGAATATGAATAGGTGATTTATGTAACTGAATTATTTTAATAATAGAAATATAAAAAGAGAGTTCATAATGGAAGTCTCTTATAAAACAAAAAACTGCCCTGTAAATCTATCATTAGGGCAAATTAAGGTTTTCATATAGAATTTGTTTAAAATAATATGCCCTGTGTTTCTGTTTAGATTTCCCCCAGAAGCAGACCCTATTCAAGTTCAGGCACAGTTTATTTGGGAAGTAATCCTAGGAACCACCAATAGGAAATTATTCTTGTGGGTAACTGAAGCTTAATCTCACTGGAGACTCTGAGGGTCTGTGTAGAAATCTCGGGGTTACCTCATCTAAGGGCAACTCCCATCATTTCACTGGTTGAGAGTTGGGGAGAGGGGATGAGGCAATTTAGTTCCCCAGCATCCAGGTTACCAACTCCTGCACTATCCATGCAGGCTCCCTGGGCCAGAAAAGCCCTCAAAGAGATACAAGTGCCAGCAGTTTAAAATCAGGCTGCCACACAATGAAATGGTAAGGACTTGGCATAAGAAATACAGTAGGTTCTGACAGCATCTGCTATGCCCTGCCCAGAGAAATGGCAAAACCTCTAAGAGGTGTGTGTTTTCACAAATATTTTTATGTTACTTCTCTTTTACACACTTCAAATTGTTTTTCTGAAACAGAACATTCAGGTTCAATGTCAGAAAAGTCTTTGCAAGGAGGCACAGGGGTTGAATCAATTGTTCACAGTGTGCATTTGAATCACACTAAAAATTCCACTTTCATGTATAAAATGTACTTTTGAAGAATTATACTGTTTGTACACAGTATCTACATTTGCCAATTAATAGACATAACAGCTGCCTATCCTTGTATGTTTATATACCTCTCTTAGGTTAAAAGTATAGCTAATAAGAAAAATTAAGATCCTACTTGTAATTTATTACCTTAACTGTGATTCTACACCTTGATTACAATTGTCACATGAAGATATTCAGTAATAGCTAAGGTAACCTTAGTTCAAACCAATTATTATAGGTGACAATGTCAGTGCAAATATAAACATCATAACAGTTCTTCCCTGCTCAGGCTCATTCAATAGCAAGGGTGTTGCGAATTAAATTTGGTCTCCAACTCTCTAGAACTCCTCATGTGCTTTGTATAAGACTACTAATAGGAAAAGTACATAGGGGAACTTAACAAATGGTGCCAAAGATAGTAATATTTGTCTCTATTTGGACAATAAGAATCATACTGCAAGGTTTTGGTTATCTTAAAAACATTCTTCCAGGGCCGGCCGAGTGGCTTGTTGGTTAAGAGTTGGCTTGGGAGCGCGAGCTTTGAGCAGCAAGGCTGCTGGTTTGGATCCCACATGGGCCAGTGACTCTGCTCCCTACAGATGGTGAACAACAGCTCGACCTGGAGCTGGGCTGCCGTGAGTCGCCGGCAAAGGCACAGGCTGCAGCGGGGCTGCAGTGGGCTACCGTAAGCTACTGTGAGGGGCCAGCAGCCAGCATGAGCGGCTGGCAGCCAGCGTGACCTGCCGTGAGCTGCCATGAGCAGCCGTCCAAGGGCCAGCGACCGATCTGCCTCAGCCAGGAAGAGCACAATGATCACAATACCAACATGGGCCAGTGAAGCAACGTCCTCCACAATTAGACTAAAGAACAAAATACAGCAACTTGTCTGTTCCCCTTCCCCAATTTCCCAACGCTGTTCCTTCCCCTAATTCCCCAATAAAATCTTTAAAAATTCTTATAAAATTTGTTTC